ACAGTCAAAACACAACAAATAAATGTGTGAAGGACTCTATTTCCCAAGTTAAGTATACCCGTGACGTGTATTATCCAATAAAATCGGATAAACAATGCAACGCTCCGCCCCTACTGAGATGGTGTATACGCTTTGCTTGTTGACATTTTGACTGCATTGAATTCACCTTGAACTTGATCAGCTATTAAATTAATTCTAACAATTAGGTATAGTTTGTTTATTTCAAATGAAAAAAATGCACAACAGAAAACATTTTCACTAATAGGGTTTTCGTGTTGGAGACAAGGAAAAACAACGGAGAAGTTAAAAAAAATTCTGGATTCAATAAATATCAGAAAGTTATTTTTATGCCCCTGCCATGTAATGGCCGGGGCATATAGTGTTACCCTGTTCCGTCATTCTGTCATTCCATCATCATCAGTTTCCGTTCATTATCTTAAGAACGGTTGCACACATTAAACTCAAATTTGACATATGGATATGTCATGAGAAAATACAGGTCAAGTTCGAATTTGGTCATGGTTCGATGATTTTTGGCAGAGTTATGCCCCTTTTACTTTGAAAATAATATGAAATTTTCAGTTTCTGTTCATTATCTCCCCAAAGGTACAACACATTCAACTCAAACTTGATATATAGATATGTCATGAAAAAATACAGGTCAAGTTTGAATTTGGTCATGGTTCGATGATTTTTGGCAGAGTTATGCCCCTTTTACTTTGAAAACAATATGAAATTTTCAGTTTCCGTTCATTATCTCCCCAAAGGTACAACACATTCAACTCAAATTTGACATATGGATATGTTTTTGGAATGCCCAGGCCAAGTTCGAATTTGGTCATGGTTCAATGATTTTTGGCAGAGTAATGCCCCTTTCACTTTGAAAATAATATGAAATTTACAGTTTCTGTTCATTATCTACCCAACAGTGTTACATATTCAACTTAAATTTGACATATGGATATGTCAAAGGAATGAGCAGGTCAAGTTGGAATTTGGTCATGGTTTGATGATTTTTTGGCAGAGTTATGTCCCTTTCACTTTGAAAATAATATAGATACATCTTAGGAATAAGCAGTTTAAGTTTGAATTTGGTCGTGGTTCAATGATTTTAGACAAACTTATCTTTCCTGAATGTTGGAAAAATTTTGACCTTTCAGTTTCAGCACTCATACTTTTAGCCATTATTTTGGCTACAAATATGCAATATGCTATTTTTATGCCACCGCAGCATCTGCGATGCGGTGGCATATAGCGATTCACCTGTGTGTGTGTGTGTTTGTTCGTTTGTTTGTGTGTGTGTGTGTTATATAGATTATATAGTGAACTTAAAAAATCTTCTTGTGAAAAACCACTAGTCCAATTTCAACCAAACTTGGCAGGATTGATCCTTGGGTGAAGGGCTTCCAAAATTGTTCAAAGAATTTAATTCCATGCAGAAATCTGGTTGCCATGGCAACCAAAAGGAATTATAAGAATAAATTTAGAAAATCTTCTTGTAAAGACCCAAAAGGCCTAGAGCTTAGATATTTTGCATAAGGCATTGTCTGGTAGACCTCTACCAAGATTGTTCAAATTATAGCCCTGGGGTCAAAATCTGCCCCGCCCCGGGGGTCATTGATTTTCACTATATGTACATATAGTAAAAACTTAAAATTCCTTTTTGTAAAGACCCATAGGCCTAGAGCTTAGATATTTTGCATAAGGCATTGTCTGGTAGACCTATACCAATATTGTTCAAATTATAACCCTGGGGTCAAAATCAGCCCTGCCCCGGGGGTCATGGATTTTCACTATATGTACATATAGTAAAAATTTAAAATACCTTCTTGTAAAGACCCAAAAGGCCTAGAGCTTAGATATTTTGAATAAGGCATTGTCTGATAGACCTCTACCCAGATTGTTCAAATTATAGCCCTGGGGTCAAAATCGGCCCGACCCCGGGGGTCATTGATTTTCCTCATATTTACATAGTAAAAACTTATAGTAAAAACTTTAAAAAAAATTCTTCTAGCAATTGACAAATGCTAGAGGTTAGATACTTTGCATGAAACATTGTGAAGTGAACCTCTAGCAAGAATGTTCAAATAATAGCCCTGGGGTCAAAATTGCCCCCGCCCCGGGGTCATTGATTTTCAATATATACATATGGTAAAAAATAAAAAAAATCTTATTGTGTGAAGGTACAAGGCTTAGAGCTTTAATATTTGTTAAATGATATCATCTATAGGTACTCTACCAAAGTTGTTCAAATTTTGCCTCTAGTGTCAAAATTAAAAGTGAACTTTGATATCAGCTGACCTAGATTTTGACAAAGTGTATTACATGTTGTCCTTTGATGCAGTCATGAAATTTTAGGCTGTGTGAAATATGACCTTCACCACCAAATTCACTAGACTCAAGTGCATTGATATATTCCTACTCTGATCTTTTATTGAGTTAACAATAGATTTAACCACTAATCTGATAATAAGAATTAGATATGCATTATGACAATCTTCAATTGTATAGAAACAAAAAAAATATGTTCCTACACTACTATTTAGAGTTGTATTAATGCGGTGGCATAGCATTTTTCTCAAATGCAATCTTGTTAAAAGGTTAAGACTGAATAATTTCAGTGCCTTGAACATTGTATGAAAATGGTTTGTGTTAACATTGAAAAGTTTTAAGGGCTTTGAACTTAAAATGAAAAAAAAAATTAATGCACCATCTGAAATTTTGGCTGCATGCGGGGGCATCCGTGGCATGATGACACATTTCTAGTTTACATAAGCATCCATTTAGATTATCGGAGAGTACAAATTATTCAACATTTACATAAATGAAGTCCGTACGTCCCGAAATCTTGTGAACTCAACTCCTCTTAAACGGGATGGCAGATTTTGCTTAAACTTCCAGGGATGAACAACCTTAATGTGTAGATGGTTGTAAAGGAAGGAATTTTTGCTTCAACCAAATTTAACAAAATTATGGCCATTTGTTGATTTTTTCACTATATACCATATTGAAATTTTGTGAACGCAACTCCTCTTAAACGGGATGGCAGATTTTGCTTAAACTTCTAGGAATGAACAACCTTAATGTGTTGATGGAAGTAACGAAAGGATTTTTTGCTGCGACCAAATTTAACAGAATTATGGCCCTTTGTTGACTTTTTCACTATATACCATATAGAAATTTTGTGAATGCAACTCCTCTTTAACCAGATGGCAGATTTTGCCTAAACTTCCAGGGATGAACAACCTTAAGGTGTAGATGCTAGTAAATGAAGGAATTTTTTCCGCGACAAAATTTAACAGAATTATGGTCCTTTGTTAATTTTTTCACTATATACCATAAAGAAATTTGGTGAACGCAACTCGTCTTAAACCGGATGGCAGATTTTGCTTAAACTTCCAGGGATGAACAACCTTAATGTGTAGATGGAAATAAAGGAAGGAATTTTTGCTGCAACCAAATTTAATTGAATTATGGCCCTTTGTTGATTTTTTCACTATATTCCATATATATGTTGTCAGTGGGGGCATCCTTGTTCTTTGGACACAGTTCAAGTATATGATGCTTTGTCTTAAGAGACAGTTTCATTGAGCGACCGTTTTGGGTGTTTCCCTAATACGGTCGCTTTATACAAGTTTGACTGTATTACTGAGTACCGTATATATTTAAGCGGCCGTAAGTTGAACAAAAATGGTTGCAAAAATTGTACATAAAAATCAACTCGATTTCTGGTTGAGTAACTAAAAAAAGTTTTTCGAGAGATCTGTTAGTGGTGATGCAGGCTCATTTTTAGAACTTGTTGGTAAAGAAACAAAGACATAATGTTTACAGAAAAAACTTTCAAAATGAATCCAATTTATATGTTGCAATGGATGTTCAATAATAATGTTCAGTTTTTTAATCATTGGCCGATGTAAAGGAAAGTTATGTTCAGCAAATCAAACATCTCCCTTTGTTGATGAAGAATATAAACTTACAGAGTCACTATAAAGATTTACCCTTCTCAATATATCCACGTGCAAAACAAAGTGTCGACAGGTGCAAAGACAATGTACATTGACAGTACCTTTGATTGTTTGTCAGGGCAGCAGTTCTTACATCACACGATGTTTGTATTGATTAATGAAATGAATAATGTTTTAGTGCCGACCAAACGAAGACCAATCAAAATTAGTTTACTAAATTGTCAGACTCTCCTTGTAGCCAATGGTGTTTGATTAGCTCCATCTCATAGACTTTTTGTCCCCTGCCTTTTCAATGAAAAAAGGGGGATATAGTAAAAGGCTATGTCCATCTGTTCGAACAAACCCAGAAATACTTGGGTGACTTGGAGAAAAATGGGTAACAGTAAATTCTCTTTGATCCTATTCATTCCATTTTTACTTGTGTGTCTTTTTAAAGCCTTTTGTGACTAAAAATGGCCAAAAAGATCAAAGGAAAAGTCTTTGTGAGTACGTCCGTTATCAATTTGGTTTCCAGAGCATAACTTAAGTTCCATTTGGCCCACAATATTCAAACTTCATAGGACGATTGCTATTTGAAGGAGGTAATACTTTATTTAATTCTCATGTCTTACAAATGCTTCATCCTAACTAAAAAAGAAAAAAGAAGAAAAAAAACCACTTTCGGGCATATAATGCTCTGTCTAGCGGTGCTCTTGTTTTATACTCTCCTGTGTCCAAAACCTCTGGGAGCATCAACAGGTTCTTGTTGTCTTGAGTAATGGCCCTTTGATGATTTTAATTTTAAATAATTTGTTCAGACTCTCTTATTCCATTAATTCAATTTTAATTAAACTTTACAGGATTGATGGGTAGCTTAAGGACTTACACGATTTTTCAGGTTGTATGATTTTTGGCCGAGTTACAGCTATCATGAGAACTGAAGACACAGTCATGTGATCACTGATTGCTCTTGTCTTATTTAAGTGTGTGATGACTTTTTAAACCTTTTGTGAACAATACATAAAAGTATATAATTACAATCCTTTTTTTTTTTAGAAACTCTTGTGGAATTGAAAGATATGCTGAACGAGTTGAATCAAAAAGGTATCAAGTTTAAACAAGAACAAGGTGAGTCATATTTGATCAAAGCTTGTAGACTGTAATAAATTATTTTAACTAGTATTAGGTGGTAACCTGTGGTTTCTCTTTGTCCTCCACTACCTCTAGTTTAAGAAACAAAGTGAGTAAAAAATAGATAAATATGGCATTAGATAAGAATTTATGAATGCTTGCAGATTTTTTACATAAAACGATCATTTCAAAAATAGTGTTTTACAATATACATTCATATATTTCATTGCAGTTCAGTTTTCTTCTGCTTCGTTTAGTTTTTGAGTTTAATTGCTAACAACTTGTGAAAATGAAGAATTAATTATAGTTTAAAGGTAGCATTTAGTGAGATGTTTGCATTTCAGAGATATATATGTAATGATTTGTGCTCATGATCTCTCGCAAGAAAGATGTTTGCTTTGTAGGGATAATTATGAAATTATTTGACCACATTTTAAGGACATTATGATTTACACAATGTATATAATGATGATTTTGAATCATAAATGATTTTTTTATGTTTTCAAAATAAGTTAATGCTTAGATGAAAAGATAGTATTTAAAAATCTTCAATGTTTTTTTTTTTCCTTAAATTGTAAATGGGTCTGGTACCCTAACAATTGTGAAAAAAAAATTGTGAATTTTTTTCTTAAGAATAAAAATTTACCCAAATGATTCTTTTTTTAGATATTTCACAAAGAATTTACAACTCTTTGAGAGCATTTTTCATCTGTTAGTACACTATAACAGGATGTTTACCTCATATTTATATCAGATATGTTTGCAATGTACAACTTGATCAGAATATGTTCTAAACATTTGACTGCAAAATGTCTTTCATTATTCGGTACCCATAAGACTGAAAGACTTATTTTAATTCATTCAGCTTGAAAGATCTTTGTCCACAAAGTTTAAATTATCAAAATTACTGCTGCAAAATTCCCATTAATTTGGGTTTTATCTAATTGAAAGACCCTGGTTTAACATATAGTTGCCATTTTGGATATTGAATAATAATAAAAAAAATATCTGTAAATCAAATAGGAAGCAACTCAGCTTTCAATTTGAATATTGGCAGTAAGATGAGGTTTTAATTTTAAACAATACATCAACGCAGAGACAAATTTGAGATTTTAATCACTAATGGTAGAAAAATTAGGAAAAAGAGGGAATTAAAAGCTTAATTTATGTAGAATGTGAATTTTGCAGAATTGTGAACGAGTCCACTGGACCCATTTTGAAAATTTTTGAAAGAACGTTCGTGATTGTGAATGGGTCTGTTATTCGGTACCACTTATATAAGGGAAAAAAACCTCTGATTTTAAAGTTAAATACAGCTATGTTATACAGTAAATACCAAAATTTTTATCAAGTAAGAATTCTTTTATTTTGAACCAATTCTTATAAAGAACTATGGTCTTTGTATCTGATTATATAATTATATAATAGTAACAGAAATGATTCTGTTTGACTTGAAGTTAGTTTATATTTTTTATACAGCTACCACTAATGAGGCATCAAGTGAAGAAGAAGAAACAAGTATTCCACTCAAGTGTTCATCTGTGGACGGAATAAGATCAGTACTATCTGTGGCTAAACAGGAAACAACAACAAATAGTCTAAATAGAATTACAGAACTGATGTCAGCAGAGGTCAATGAACCCGTATCAATAAAAATGATTCCTGATATGATGGACTTTCGAAATGTGTTTGAAGAATCAGGTACTGTAAATTGAAAACACATTTTGTTTTATGCAATTTGAATAAAAAAAATTCTTTTCTCAACTTTTTTTAAAGAAAAATTAGATGTATTTTACAGTCATGTCTTAGTTGTGTTGCTGTCGTCATTGTTGTCCCCAATACTTAACACTGATTATAATTTTTAGGACATTTTTGTGTCGCCTCTACGGAGTATTGCGACATATAGGGATCACTTCTCCGTTGTCCGTCTGTCTGTCAGTCCGTTGCCAGATATACAAAAGCTTGTCCGGACTACTCCTCATAAACTACTGGTGCAATTTCATCCAAACTTTACAGGAATGATCAGTACCAAGTCTAGTTGTGCACTGTCCGTCTGTCTGTCCTTCTGTCACAAAATTTGTCCCAACATGAAATTGGCCATCATGAGGCGACACATGTGATTACTGGTCGCTCTTGTCTTGAGATAGCTAAGGGTCAGTTTTTAGGATTGTTGAATGTCTGTCTTTCATCGTCAGTCCATATTTAGTTTGTTAGCACTCTAGTTGTCACATTTTTGCCTCTATTGTCACCTAACTTGGTCAGGATGTTTGTCTAAGTAATTTCTTTGATGAGTTGGAACAATTGGGTCATCTCAGATGAAAAACAAAGTCACAGGAGCTAAAAATAGAAAAATCTTGTTAACACCCTAATGGCTATTGTTTTGATCCAAATATCCCGTAAATTGGTCAGATATGTTGGTTGGATGATTTCTAGGTCAAGTTCAGATATGGTTCTCTGTGGGTCAAAAACAAGATCACACTGTCCAAATATGGAAAAACCTTGTTAACACTTTAGGGGCTACTCTTCAAGTCCAAATATTTTGGAAATAGGTCAGAAAAGTTATGATTATCTCTAGGTCGAATTTGAATATGGGTCACCTGGGGTCAAAAACAAGGTCACACAGCCCAAATATGGAAAAACCTTGTTAACATTTTAGAGGCTATAATTTTGATTCAAACAGAAAGGTTGTTTTGGTGATTTCTAGGTCATGTTCAAATATGGGTCATCTGGTGTCAAAATCTAGGTCTCATAGTCAAAATATTGAAAATCCTTCTGAACACACTAGATGCTATTGTTACAGTGCAAATTCCTGGAAACTCGTCAGAAAGATTGTTATTATGATTTCAGGTCAAGTTTGAGTATGGTTTACCTAGTGTCAAAAAGTGGGTCACAAAGCCCAATTATGGAAAAAAAATCTATGTTAACACACTAAAGACTACTGTTTCAGTCCAGTTTTCCATGACATTGGTTAGAAATGTTGTTATAATGATTTCATGGTCAATTTCGAATATGGATCACATAGAGTCAAAAACTAGGTCACACAGCCCAAATATGGACAAACCTTTTTAAACTCTAGAGGATATTATTCCAGTCCAAATATCCATGAAATAAAGATTGAGCCTTAATAATAAGTGAGTGATATAAGGGCCATCATAATCACTAGGTCCAGAGTCAGTCACAATAACCTGGCCACATGACTAATTGGCTATCAATAGGGAGGGTGGAGGGTAAGACCTTCAACTATGTCAAACTCAAAGTGACCTTGTTTCATTTAAGACCTTGACCTTCAAGGTGAAATATTTGAATTTTCACGGATTTTGCTATAATTGACTGAAACTTAAATGACTATAAAATAAAAGAAAAAAATGTATATATAATGTTTTAAAAAGATTAGTTGAAACCATTTATTTGTTTGCTGTTATAAACAGTAAAAAGTGCCTCTGGCCAGCGGTGGCTCTTGCTAAATTAAAGTTGCATTCTAGAATATCATAAAAACATATAGCAGAATGAAAACTACATAAAAAAATTATATAAAATTTTGCATTTTTGCAAAAAGAGTTAAAACTAAAAAAAGAAAGTTGAGGTAATTGGCCTCTTGTTCAAGTAACTTGTCCTTTAATTTGAAAAGTGTCTGATTAAGGGCAAATAATTGACAATGACATGGCAATGTCTTTTTGTGCCCCCATTTAGATTTACCCTTGTCCTTCCATCTGTCCGTCCGTTAACGTTTTGTGTTGCACATTAGCTAAAAAAGTATTTGACCTAGAGTCATGAATTTTTAGCTCGACTTTTTTTTTGAAAAAAAAAGTGGAGGTATTGTTATAGTCAGGTCGGCGTTGCCGTTGCCGTTCCAGTCCGCAAACTTGTACCTGGATCATAACTTTTTTTATTTCTTGGTGTATTGTCTTCATACTTGGCCACAACAACCCTTGGGACAAGACCTTTCAGTAGATCACACTAACCTTGACCTTCATCCATAAATGACCTTGACCTTCAAGATTAAATTTCCAAATTTTGCATGTTCATGCTGTTATTGGCTGTAACTTTGTTATTTTTGAATGGATTGTCTTCAAACTTGAACATAATAATCTTCAAGGATATCCCTTAAAAATAACCAGACAGACCTTGACCTTCACTCATAAATGACCTTGACTTTGAAGGTCAAATTATTGAAATTTTCATTTTTTGGCTATTATTGGCTGTCACTTTGTTATTTTTGAATGGATTGTCTTCAAACTTGAACATAATAATCTTCAAGGATAACTCTTTAAAATAACCCGATAGACCTTGACCTTCACTCATCAATTACATTGTCTTTGAAGGTCAAATTATTGAAATTTTCATTGTTTTGGCTATAACATGAAAGTAACTTTGCTATTATTGAAGGGATCAACGTAATATTATAACAGAACATTCTTAAGGACCAGACCTTGTTGTTTATCAAACCCAAATTTACTTGGGCTCTTTAATGACTTTGACCTTGAAGGTTAAATTATTGAATTTTCTTAGATTTGTGCATTAAATGACCATAATTATATATTTATTGGTGTGTGTGTGTATATATATATACATAGATATCTATCATCATCATCATCATCATGATCATCATCAACAACAACAACAACGTGTATCTATTTATAGAATTGTGTGTTTCTATTTTTAGAATTGCGTGTTTCTATTTTTAGAATTGCTTGTTAATATTTATAGAATTGCGTGATACTATTTTTAGAATTACGTGTTTCTATTTTTAGAATTACGTGTTTCTATTTTTAGAATTGCATGTTGCTATTTATAGAATTGCGTGTTACTATTTATAGAAGTCCGTGTTGCTATTTATAGAATTGCGTGTTACTATTTTTAGCTCGACTATTCTATAAGAATAAGTAGAGCTATTGTAGTCACCCGAGCGTTGGCGTCGGCGTCGGTGTCGGCGTCGGCGTAACCACTTATGTTAAAGTTTTTGTAATAGTTCAAATATTTTCAAAGTCCATTGACATATGGCTTTGAAACTTTGCACACTTGTTCACCATCATGACCCCAACCTGTAGACAGGAGGAGGTAACTCTATCAAACATTTTGACAGAATAATGCCCCTTTTTCGACTTAGAATTTATGTTAAAGTTTTTGTCATAGTTCAAATATTTTCAAAGTCCATAGATATATGGCTTTGAAACTTTGCACACTTGTTCACCATCATGACCCCAACCTGTAGACATGAGGAGGTAACTCTATCAAGCATTTGACAGAATTATGCCCCTTTTTCGACTTAGAATTTATGTTAAAGTTTCTGTTATACCTCAAATATTTTCAAAGTCCATTGACATATGGCTTTGAAACTTTGCACACTTGTTCACCATCATGACCCCAACCTGTAAACAGGAGAAGGTAACTGTATCAAGCATTTTTTTTTACTATCAAGCACTAAGAATAGTCGAGCGTTGCTGTCCTACCGACAGCTCTTGTTAGAATTGCGAGTTTCTATTTATAGAATTGCTTTTTTCTTTTTATAGAAGTGCGTGTTGCTATTTATAGAATTGCGTGTTACTATTTTTAGAATTGCGTGTTTCTTTTTATAGAATTGCTTTTTTCTTTTTATAGAATTGCGTGTTACTATTTTTAGAATAGAATTGCGTGTTTCTATTTATAGAATTGCGTGTTTCTATTTACAGAATTGCGTGTTACTATTTATAGAATTGTGTGTTACTATTTATAGAATTGCGTGTTTCTATTTATAGAATTGCGTGTTTCATATATATATATATATATATAAAAAAAGAAGTTCGATTCCTTGTGTGGATCTCATGTATAAAAAAAGTATGTTTTGGGAAATGCAGAGTACAAAGTTCGTTAATTTTTATACGTTTATTTCTGTTTACACTGAATTTCCCTCCATTCACAAGTGAAATTTACAAAAAAAGAAGTTCGATTCCTTGTGTGGATCTCATGTATAAAAAAACAGAAATAAACGTATAAAAATTAACGAACTTTGTACTCTGCATTTCCCAAAACATACTTTTTTTATATATATATATATATATATATATATATATATATATATATATATATATATATATATATACACACAAAATAGATAAACAAAACTAATGTGAGAAGACAGACCGACTAAATTTATAAAAAGGAAACGTTAAGATATGTTCCAACCTTTCTGTGTTTGCTTTTAGAAAAAGGAAAAAGTCGAGCGTTGCCCCCGCCCGGCGGTGGCTCTTGTTACAGGAATGTTGCTCAGCATGTGTAGTTGTGCACCTGGGTATTTTCTTATGGATGTTTTTAGTATTTGTGGAGTTATTGCTTAAAATTTGCAATTTTCAACTCGTGTCGCACATAGCTCAAAAAGTATTTGACCTAGTCATGAAACTCTACAGGAATGCTGCTCAGCATGTGAAGTTGTGCACCTGGGGTTTGCCTTGTTGATTTATTCTGTTTGTCAGAGAAATTGCCCTTGACTTAGTAAAGATTTGCAATTTTAAACTTGTGTTCATGTAGCTCAAAAAGTATTCGACCTTGAGTCATAAATCTTTACAGCAATGTTGCTCAGCATGTGAAGATGTGCACCTGGGGTTTCTCTTGTTGTTTTTTAGCTTACCTTGCACATAGTGCAGGTGAGCTTTTAGGATGGCCAATCAAATGCGTCCAGGGTCTGTCCACATTTTATTCAATCGACATCTTCTATAATACCACTT